AGGCTGAGGTGAGGGGATTGCCTGAGCCCACAGGTTCGAGAACAGCCCGGGCAACTTGGTGAGACCTCATCGCTACAATAAATCAAAAATATTAGCCGGGCATGGTAGCACATGCCTGTAGTTCTGGCTACTTGGAAGGCTGAGATGGAAGGTCAATGCTGGGATGGCCGTGAGCCTGTCACTGCACTCCAGCCTGGACGACACAGTGAGACTCCAACTCAAAAAAAAAAAAAAATAGTTTTCTTGCTAAAAATAATTTTAAAATTTTAAAAAACAATTGATAAAATCCTGTCTCTTCATTCTGCCCTTTAGCCACTTAAAATAACTAAATATCCTGGGTGCTGTGTGAATTTTTAAAAAATGAACTTTCTCCTTAATCAGAATAATTTGAATAATCAGAATAATCCTTCCATTTAATAAATCAAGCATCACCTGGTGATTTTAAAATCAAAATTTATTCATTCTTGATATTTAAGGAAAACAATGTAAATGGAAAATAAAAATTTATATTCTACAATATCCAAAAAGCATTTTAATCCAAGCTCCACTAAAAATCTTAACAAGAGGCACTGCATAATTTTGGAAAAATGAAACAGGTAAACTTAACAGAAGCATTAGGAATGCCAAATTGTCACCAAATCACATTGAGGTGATGGTGGCAACTTACACATGGAATTTACAACATGACTGCTAATACTCAACTCTCAATATCTGATACAGAGACTAACTTCTAGATCGTGGTCCTCCAAAGAGTAAGGACTATTACTTCTCTTTGAATACTCAGATCCTAGAATCCTCAGATCCTATCCTAGAATACTCAGAATCCTATCCTAGAATACTCAGATCCTATTATTTGGAATAATACTAGGTGTTCAATAAGTATTTAATGTATTGAAATGCTCCTTTTAGAATGCATTCTTGGTAATTTATTATACAGTATTTTCTGCTTAGTTTATTATTCAAAAGCATATTAGGAATTATGTAATTTCTGTTTGGATATTTGATATTTAAAAAGGCAAGTTTAAAGCACACAGAAAATGGTTCTTTGTTTTACTTTCCTATTTCACACAAAAGGAGAGTAAGAATACATTGTAGAGTAACACCAAAATAATGTATCTGTGTGTTGATTACATAGGACTAATGCTATCTCTTCAAATATCTAAGGTTTTTATCCTGTTAACTCTAGTGGGAATATTTCCAAGCATATAATGAATACTTTCCTACTTACTTTTTTTTTTTTTTTTTTGAGTTGGAGTCTCTCACTCTGTCGCCCAGGCTGGACTGCAGTGGCACACTCATGGCCACCCCAGCATTGACCTGCTGGGCTCAGGTGGTCCTTCTGCCCAGCCTTCCATGTAGCTGGAACTACAGGCGCACGCTACCACACCCGGCTAATTTTTTCTTTTTTTTATTGTAGAGACGAGGTCTTGCCAAGTTGCCCAGGCTGGTCTCAAACCTCTGGGCTCAGGCAATCCTCTCTCCTTGGCTTCCCAAAGTGCTGCCTACTTTCTTAAAAGTGGCATACTGAATATAATCTCAACTTTTCTTTATGACTCAAGTTCATCATAAGCATCCTTTATTATACTCAATCAGCATTAGTTTGTCTATTTCCTTTCTAGCTAGGGTGTGTCTGCTTTTATAAACCGTCTACCTCCTATCTCCCTGACCATGTTTGTATTCATTTATGAGGGAAGATCCCCAAAAATCCAGAATTATCTTTTAGAGCAGGGGTTCCCAAACTCCAGCTATGGACTTAGCAGTCTGTGGCCCGTTAGGAACCTGGCCACACAGCAGGAGGTGAGCTACAGGCAAGCTCCACCTCCTGTCAGATCAGTGGTGGCCCACCCATTATTTTATTTACCACTTTTGTCTGCACCTCTTTTTATTAATAGTGAGTTGTATAATTACTTATTATGTATTACACTGTAACAGTAATAGAAATAAAGTATACAATTAAATGTTACGTACTTGAATCATTCTGAAACCACCCCCCAACTGTGAAAAAATTATCTTCCATGAAACAGGTCCCTGATGCCACAAAGGTTGGGGACCGCTGTTGTAGAGGGCAGGCCCCTTGCAGTACAGGCTTCTCTCACTAGTTAAGTGTTCTAGGAACCCATTGGCATTAGTGTACCAGCTAGCTTGTTATGAGAGGCTGCATTCAGCTTCAGTGAATTTTGGTTTTGGAATCTTTCAACACATTTGCCCATTTCATGATGGGTGATTTACGAGGGCACCTATCCACACCACGCTGAGTGTTCAGCAGTTTCTGACCAAAAAGAGCATGATCCCCATGTTCCATCCTCCATATTCACCCCCTCTTGCCCCAGATGACTTTTTTTTTGTTTCCCAGGATGAGAAAAGTTCTCAAAGGGAAATGTTTTGCTGATGTGGAAGAGGTGAAACAAAAAACACCAGAAGCATTAATAGGCATCAACATCGATGAGTTTAAAAACTTCTAAGCAGTGGAAAAAGCATCTAGATGAGTGTATTGTGTCAGAGAGTCTTTTGAAGGTGACTGAAGTTTAAACATGTAAGAATAAATTCACAATTTTTTATAAATAAATTCCAGGGTTTTCTTGGTTCCCCCTTGTATTATACACTTTTCAAAGCAACTTGGACTTCTTCACAGTATTTATTACACTTGCAGTTTTACATTTATTTATGAGATTTGATTACTGTCTCTCCCATACTAGATTATAAGAACCGTGAGGGTTTGTACCTAGTCCAGGCTCTTTCACCATTAATGCCTGGTATACAATAGGCTCCTAATAAAAGACTAGCTGAATGACTAAATAAACATCTACCTCAGTGCATACCCCCTCTGCAGTTTGCTGAGGACAGACCTGGAAATCCAGGGAATCAAACTTTCTAAAAACGATGTTTAAAAAAAGTAAGCACCTACATGAGAATAGAAGTAATACTTTCACACTGTACAGGACCCCAACTTTACAGTCTTGTAATAACTATTTTGGCTGTTAGGTCTTTTCCCTCTTTTAGTACCTACAAAAAGTAGAGGTTGTATGGATAAATGCCCCTGAAAAGTTATGACTTTTGGGGCTCTAAACCTCAATTTCCTCTTATAAAATGATGATAATAGTCCCTACCTCAATAGGTTATTTTAAGTGTTCAGTAAAAAAGTGCTCATCACACTGCCTGGTATATAAGAAGTGTTGATGTTAGCTATTACTATTAGTTGTGTGCCACAATAGTGAGAATAAGCTATCTTTCATGTAAGAAAATATTGCTCTTGACCCATCACCAAAGTGTATGTACTCTGAATCATTTCTTCAGAAGTTAAGGGTTTGCTTAGAAGTTCATCCAACCTCTCCCCCTTATGACCATTGATTTTTATTAAAGTCTCATACTTTGCCAGGTATAGTGGCTCATGCCTGTAATCCCAGCACTTTGGGAGGCTGAGGCGAGAGAACTGCTCGAACCAGGAGTTTGATGCCAGCCTGAGCAACATGGGGAGACCTTGTCTCAACAAATATAAAAAAAATTACCTGGGTGTGGTGGCAGCCACCTGTAGTTCCAGTTACTTGGAAGACTGTGGTGGAAGGATGGCCTGAGCCCAAGAGGTCAAGGCTGTGGTAACCATGATCATGCCACAGAGTGAGACTCTGACTCAAAAAAAAAAAAAAAGTCTTATACTTTGGCTTTAAAGTAAACTGCTTGGCTTTCACTCAATTCATAATCTGTTTCCACCAAAAATATACATTTTTCTATGGTTCTATTAATATCATAGTACATTTATGAGATACTGGAGATCTTATATAACCCAGGAAGAGGTTATAAGAAATTTCAAAATGGAAGTGTCACTGGAAATAAAGTATACTTTGTCTATATATGTTTTTAAAACTTCATTGTCCATTTTATGACTTTAAAGTGCATGTAAAATTCTTTTCTATTTTGTGGTAGCTAATTAATTTAAAGAAAGAAAATAAAATGCTTATCATTACTATACCAACTGTATTTTGCAAAGGAAACATTACTATTTTAAGCTGCGGATCCTCTGAATGTATATCTGACACAGATTTTGTAAATCTATACTGGACCTTGAACTTTTCATGTTTATTACAAAAGTCAAAGAGTAATTTTCTTTTAAAGATGTATTACTTTCCAAATATTCCCAAAGAGTTGAATGTGCTTTTAGTTTAGGATATACAACTTAAAATGATGCACACTGCAGATCAATATTTATCCTGCTGTAAGTTTTTTTTTTTTTTTGAGTTGGAGTCTCACTCTGTCACCCAGACTGGAGTGCAGTGGCCACTCCCGGCCACCGCAGCCTCGACCTGCTGGGCTCCGGTGATCCTTCCACCTCAGCCTTCCAAGTAGCCGGAATTACAGGCATGCGCTACCACGCCCTGCTGATTTTTTGATTTATTGTAGAGATGAGGTCTTGCTGTCCAGGCGGGTTTCGAACCCGCGGGCTCAGGCAATCCACTCACCTCAGCCTCCAAAAGGTGCGGGATTACAGGCTGAGCCCTTGAGCCCAGCTCCCTGCTGTAAGTTTTAAGAACAGTATAGGCTGAGCACAATGTCTCACGCCTGTAATCCTAGTACTTTGGGAAGACAAGGCAAGAGGCTAGCTCGAGCCCAGGAGTTTGAGACCATCCTGGGCAACATAGTAAGACGTTGTCTCTACAAAAAATAAAAAAAAATTAGCCAGGTGTGCTATAATCTCAGCTCCTGGGAGACCGGGGTGTGTGTGTGTGTGTGTGTATGTATGTGAGATATATATATATACTACTTGAGCCCAGGAGTTTGAGGCTGTGGTGAGTCATGACTGAGCCACTGCCCTCCAGTCTGCATGACATAGTGAAACCCTAACTAAAAAAAAAAAAATCTCAAGAATTCCAGGAAAAATAAGATTTCCCCCCCCCTCCTTATCTAACTTCTTAAGGATTCAAATCACAAAGCTGACCAAGAGACCAGACTTTAACCAAACAGTTTGTAAGGGTAAGTAAAAAGATACAAAAGTTCACATAGCTATATATGTTGGCAGAATTAAATGATCTTTCATTTCAGGTAACTGCATTTGAGAATCAAAGTTTTAACTGTTGTTGGAGACCGTGGATTGAGGATGCACTGCTTTGGAGTTTCTCAGTCACTGTATCTTCTTTCCCTGTGGGTTTGATGACTTCAGATACCCCATTGGTTCCAAGGATGCAAGGCAAACTTAAAAACACTTCACTATTTATATCATAATATCCCTGAAATGAGAAAATTAGGGATTATAATAGAGCTAAATCACTGCAAAGTTAATATAGAAATGCATACTTTCTTGCTCTTCTAGTTCTAATACAAAGTGATACAAGTTGAACTTTAAAAGTATTTTTGTTCATTTGTTTTATAAACTCAAGTTATTGTTTCGGAAAATTTTTGAGATGAGAGGAACTTGGTCAAAGACACTCCCTTTATGGGGAGGAAAGCTAGTCCTCTGTTGGGGCTAAGAAAAAAAAAATGGTCAGAGTGGATTTCCTAGGGAGGGGTAAAGCATGGTCTCTGGGCAGTCAAATACAGTAACCTCTTTTTTGAAAATTGATGCATAATTGTACCCATTTATGAGGCACATGTGATATTTTGATAAGCATACAATATGCAATGATCAAATCAGGGTAATAGGATATTTATAACCTCAAGCATTTATTACTTTGCAATGGACATTCCAAATTTTGAAATATACAATTAATTATTAATAACTATAGTCACCCTACTATGCTATTAAACATTAGAACTTATTTCTTCTATTTTTGCACCCACTAACCAACTTCTTTTCATTCTCTCCCTCCTCCCTACCCTTCCCAGCCTCTGGTAGCCACCATTCTATTCCTTCTTCCTCCGTGAGGTCTTTTTTTGTTTTGTTTTATTTAGCCCCTACATATAAGTGAGACTATACAATATTTGTCTTTTTGGCATATCAGTCTGGGGTGATAACCAAAAAAGCTTTTGGATATATAAACACTATTTGGGGGATTCCCCAAAATTACGAGGGTGAGAGGGCAACTTGGTAGAAGTCCAGACTTCCACAGCCAAGCAGGATAAGACTACCAGAATAAACTGCCTCCTCCCACGTGTTACTCTAAAAGCTGGTGACATTGAAGACACCTTGGTTAGAGTGTGAACAGCAATTTTGATTGCTATGTCTAAGTTTAAAATATGAGAGAATGAGAATAGCAATTACCTTTGCTAAAGTGGATACAGAATGCACTTTCTTTTTATCATTTACAATACTATCAACCAGGTCAGCTACTGAAAGTCCAACAGACCAGGATCTTTGACCTTTTGCCCTTAACAATTCCATGGCTCTAGGTTACAAAAAAAACATGATCTCAGAAAATGCACAAACTGCACATTTAGTTTTACATTCTATTGATGGTATTAATTAGACATTTTTATGACACAGAAATAAGAATTAAACAGCAATTGTTGGGAAAGCCTACAGACAACCTAATGATTACTTAAACTTTTCTTAAGATGTCAGGCAGTTCACAGAGAGAAAATACAAATGTCCTAATAATAGAAAAAGATGCCCAGTGCCATTAATATTTAGCTAAATATAATTAAAACAATAAATGCCAGTTTTTACTATCAAAACTGGCAAAGGTTAAAATAATTTTGGAGAAACTATAAACGAGCATTCCCATAACTGCTGTTGAGAATGTAAAGTGATCTACCTTTTAGGAAGAAAATTTGGCAACATCTGATTTAGAAACATCTGATTTAGAAACTCCTAGGAATTTATCCTACAGCAATATGCTCAAAATGTGCACAAGTATACATACCAAGCATATTTGCTGTATTTGGAAACATCTAATCAAATGAGGACTGTTTATTCATGACCTGCCTAGGCAACTTGGTGAGACCTTGTCTCTATAATAAATCAAAATTAGCTGGGCATGGTGGCACGCACCTGAAGTTCCAGCTACTTGGAAGGCTAAGGTGGAAGGATAGCCTGACCCCAGAAAGCCAAGGCTGCAGTGAGCAGTGATTGTCCCACTGCACTCCAGGTTGGGCAACAGAGTGAAACTCTGACCAAAAAAAGAGAACTGGTCAAATCACTACCAAATGTAGTACCATGTAGCTGTTGAGAAGCATAAGGTAGCCTTACATGTACAATATGGAAAGAAGTCCAAGATTTATCATTAAGGAAAGAAGTTGCAAGATAGTATGAATAATGAATAGCATAATTCTATTAAAAGGATAATGACCAGTTATAGAAGAAGTTTTTTTAAAAAAATTTTAGAGACAAGGTCTTGCTGTGTTGCCTAGGCTAGCCTTGAACTCTTAGGCTCAAGCAATCCTTCTGCCTTAACCTCCTGAGTAGGAAGTTTTTGGACAAATGGACACTAAATTGTTAACAATGATTACCCCTGAGAAATGGAATTACCTCAGCTTTTACTTTCTACTTCATAGCATTTCTACTTCTGCGGCATTTGACGTTTTATAATAAGCATATATTCTTTTTGTAAATAATTTTAAAAGATAAACATTTACATTTCTTCCTTTTAAAAATTATAAATGCAGGATTATATAATCATATTAGAATGAATTATAGCACATACTACTCAATAAGAAAGAGAACATTCTTTCCAGTTGTTATATCCTAAAACAATATGCTGAAGGTTTAAAAAGCTAAAATTCACCACGAATCAGTCCTCAGGAAAAATCTGCTATGATGTGATGGTGAAACAACACATAATATATGGTGTGTAAAGTCCAACCTGTGGGCACAGACCCTTGGAAGGCCTCTGAATAAAGGCAAACGATACAAGGATCTGTGCATTATACTTTTTTTTTTTTGGCCTGAACATATAATATGACCCATCCATTCATATTAGACTGATTTCCAAATGTATTTGTGTGACTAATACACATTCACTTTTAAGTAGTATGGACAAATTCTCTTCCACATAAAGAAAATTGTTACTATCCTCAGATGCTTAGATTTGGGAGCAATACATCAGTCTACAAATAAGGAACATGTTCTACCCTTTAAATGTGAACTGTGTTATCTGAAAAAGTTTGCAAAGCACTCTTAGATCTACCTTCAGATAAGAAATAAAAAAAAATATAAAACATGACTCCCTTATACTTTTGGATTTGTCCATACTGGCTTAGTTTTGTTTCCAGAAGCCTGGTAAGTACATGTTGTATAAACAGTTGTTATGTTAGCGGTGAAGTACATGATTTTTAGTTAGATAAATGTAGATTTTCACTCAGTGTTACCTGTTAGACAGTTGCACCTGAGAATTATGACTCACTATTTCTTGGCCATCCCATGTAGACACTAAAAATTAAATGAAGAATTAATTATAGTTTGCCAGTGACTCTCTTAGGATTAAGATGTGATAAATGCTCTTTTGCAGTCAAGGGTCCCTGGATTAATATTTATATAGAAGTTTTCCCCCTTCTAGCAACAGTTACATTTTTCTACTGATGGCACTATACCAACTATACCAGTTGCTATACCAACTGCCCACAGTGAGAAAGACTTCGAACCACAAAAAACATGATCCCCAAAGTCTACTTGCAGTCTCCTTACCTGTTCTCTCTCATTAATTAACAATTCTACAAGGGTCATTTTACTAAGTGGAAAGCTAAGTAAAGCTTTATTTCCTTAACAGGTTGCTTATAATAGATTCCCAGGTGCTGCAAGCATTTGGTATTTGTTCTGCTAGGAACTTCCCTGAGACTAATTTCTTTCACCAGGTGAGGGATAATTTGGTCACCTATTTTGGGCTAGAATTTCCACAGTAGCTAGAGAGGCAGCGTTCTGTTTTTTGAAAGCATGTTCTGGGATACCCATTTCCTCTCACCACACCACTTATAAAAACAATTCAAAAATTTAGAGCTGAATGCACAAACTAGATATTTATACCACAATTTAATATTAAATTGAAATTGCCAGTAACACTTTGACACCTTTCCAATATTCATCTGTTTCTCATCTGTGTGAACACATTCTATGGTAAAAATCTGTATGTATTTGGATAGCCAAAACAAAAATACATTTGGCTATATAAGAATACTTATGCTTAGGCCGGGCTCGGTGCTCAGCCTGTCATCCCAGCGCTTTGGGAGGCTGAGGTGAGTGGATTGTCTGAGCCCACAGGTTCGAGACCCGCCCAGGCAACTTGGCGAGACCTCATCTCTACAATAAAATCAAAAAATCAGCCGGGCGTGGTAGCGCACGCCTGTAGTTCCAGCTACTTGGAAGGCTGAGGTGGAAGGTTCGCCGGAGCCCAGCAGGTCAAGGCTGTGGCGGCCGGGAGCGGCCACTGCACTCCAGTCTGGGCAACAGAGTGAGATTCCAACTCAAAAAAAAAAAACTTATGCTTAAGATACAGGAATTCTAAACTACATTCAAAATTAGGCCACCTAGTGACATCAGCAACAAAGGATACCATATGTATCCAGAGTCCTCCCTTCCTCAAATTAATTAATAAGCTTCCAGAGTGCAGGGACCATGTGTTGTTCCTTTTGTCTTCTTGCACATATTCTTTCTTCACCATGGTGTTGGATACACAGAAGATAATATAGAACTAGCCTCATGCACGGTCCATAATTATATTTGGTAACAAAGAGGAAAACATACTTGAAACAGTAAAATTTAAAAACTTATAAAAATTTTGAAAGTTTATTAAACAAATAAAAGAACGAAACCAAAAATTACATGAAAAATATAAATACATGTGGATAAATTAAGGGATTTTTAGTATGTTTTACTTGACTAGAAGGGTGATACATAGATTATTTTCTTTAAAAATTTGTTGCAATATGAGTATATTCACACAAAAAATTGGGGAAAAATGTCTACTAACTAAAATACAGAATTTACAGACCCTCGAAGGGTTAATAATAAGGGGGCTATAAGAAAAAACTCACAAAGGACACCAAAAAAATCTGAAAATTATGAGTATTGCTGTCATTTTATAGATAGATAGGTACCTCACATTCTTTATCTTTCCTCTATGAGTCCTGACTTAGAGCCATGGAAAAGAATGGAGACAGGAAGAAAACTTCATTTCACCATGTTCAAATTTGCTTGTGACACAATCATTAGCATTTTTCAAATGCTCAACTCTTTTTTGCTTTTATTATTATTTTTAATTGACACATAGCAATTGTACATATTGAGGTGTACAGTATGATATTTCAACACATGTACACATTGTGTAATGACCAAAATAGTAATTAGCATATTTCACCTCAAACATTTATTATTGTGTTAAGAACATTCAAAGCCCACTATTCCAGCTATTTGAAAATAGACAATAAGTTGCTATTATAGTCACCCTACAGTACTATAAAACACAAGAATTTTCAGATGGACTTAATTATTTCATGTTTTTGTTTACTGCCCAGCCCTTCAAACTTCCTAAATGTATATTCCTCCTAGTTTAAGTAACCATTTCAATATTATATATAATCAATCTTGATCTTTGGTTCTATTCCTCAAGAATCTTCTATAATCCTCTAGCCCTCAAATTTTAATGAAAACTCCCATATGATAGCTCTTTGCTATTATATATAACACCCACCTCCATACCTCAAGCAGGTGATCTAACACTCTGCTTCTGAGGTCCAGCTGTTGGATTTCTTAGACTTCCCTTGAAGGGGTACATCTGTAATTTATACAAGATTTCAAAATCACAGCTGAAAACTGCAGATCCAAAGCATATGTTCTGCTAACATCTAGTTTGGTGTGACATAATGAATGACCTTTGGTTACAAAATGGTGGTGTCAGGATCATTCATTCATGCCAAAACACAATCACTGAGGCCACTGCAAGCGCAAGGAGCTTACAGTCTAGTGGTGTGAACAGACAGGTAATTGTAACAGCCTAATAACCTAACAGAGACAATTATAACAGTGTAGTAATGGTTATAACAAATGCACAAACTTACTTAACCTGAAGAATTAAGGAAGGCCTCCTGGGAGAGGTGGCACTCAAGCCCAGTCCTGAAGGGTAAGCAGGAGTTAGCCAAGTGAATGAGTGTTCAGGGAAAGGAAGCTGCAGGTGCTAAGGCAAGGAGGCAAGAGAGCATATCAACCAACCATTCAGGAAGCTGTGAGTCAACCACCTGACTAGCATACAAGGGGGGACCCAAAAAAACCTGGAATTTATTTATGAAAAATTGTGTATTCTTACATGTTTAAAACTTCAGTCACCTTCGAAGTACTCTCCGTTTGATGAAATACACTTATTGAAACACTTTTTCCGTTGCTCAAAAGTCTCTGAATTCGTCAATTTTGATACCTTTTAGAGCTTCTGCCGTTTTTGTTTCATCTCTTCCACGTCAGCAAAACATTTCCCTTAGAGGGAAAAAAGAAAAAGTTGCTCGGGGCAAGATTGGGTGAATTTGGAGGGTGTGGCATAGGGGTCATGCTGTTTTTGGTCAGAAACTGCTGAACACTCAATGTGATGCTGCCAGATGTGCTTGTAAATCAACCATAATGCAACTGCCTTAAGACAATTTCAAAAAAAAATTCACTGAAGCTGAACGCAGCCTCTCACAACAACACTAGCCAATGGGTTCCTAGAACACTTATGTAGCAGGGGAAGCCTGTACTACAAGTCTGCCCTTCAAAAAATAATTCCAGGTTTTTTGGGGTCCCTGGTAGAATGTCTGGCAGAATGGCAGAAGATAAAGCTGGGGAGGAAAGCAGGAAATAGATCTTAAAGATGTTGTATGACATGTGATTTCTTCCCAGGTTACACCTCTCATTTGTCTCTGAAATACTCGAAGATAATATTTTACTTACACAATTGCCATTCTCTTTCTATAATCTTTTTTTTTTTTACATCAGGGTCTCACTCTGTAGTCCAGGCTGGAGTGCAATGGCACGATCATAGCTCATCACAGCCTCGACCTCCTGGGCTCAGGTGATCCTTCTACCTAAGCCTTTCAAATAGCTGGGACTGACTACAGGTGCATGCTACTATGCCCTCGCTAATTTTTTTTTATTTTCTGTATAGACAAGGTCTTGCTTATGTTGCCTAGGCTGGTTTTGAACTTCTGGGCTCAAGCAATCCTCTCACCTTGGCCTCCCAAAGTGCTGGGATTACAGACATGAAAAACTGCGTCTGACCCAGAAGTGCTATATATATTTTTTAAAAGCAGGATTTATTGACAGGACAGAAAAGCTCCCAGAGTGGGAGGGAACCTGAGGGGGTTGCCCCAGGAGTGCTATTTTTATAACTGTTTCCAAATCCTAACATTGTTTTACTTCAAAGCATAGTTTTATGTGCCCTTTTGCCAATTTTCTATTCATCACCATCTTGCTGATGACTGTAATAACAGTGACCATTTGCTAAGTGTTTACTCTGTGCCAGACACTGTACTAAATCAAGTGACAGCAAAAAAGAGCACAGCTTTAGAGTCAAACCAGGTTTCAAATCTTAGTTCTGCCCTTACTAGATATGTAATCTTGGGCAAATCTCACTGAACCTTAAATTTCCTCATCTGAAAATTTAAAAATCACCACTTCCTTCACAAGGTGTTTGCAAAAGTTACATGAGATATGCAAAGCATTTAATACACATAGAAGGCATGCAATAAAAAATAATTATAATTGTTATTACTGTGATGGTGTTACATGTAAAAATACAACATGAAACCAGCAGAGGGAGCCTCTAATCCATTTCTGGCTTCAGGACCAAGGTAAGTATACCTATTCATGAATATAACTGCTTTTCCAATAAGAGTAGAAGACAGAATAAAAAGTGATCTGAGGCTGGGCACCATGGCTTATGTCTGATCCCAGCACTTTGGGGGCCAAGGCAGGAGGATTGCTTGAGACCAGGAGTTCAAGACCAGTCTAGGCAACACAGCGAGACCTCATCTCTACAAAAAATAAAAAACTAGCTGCATGTGGTAGTTCACACCTACAGTCCCAGCTCCTTGTGAGGTTGAGGTGGAAAGATTGTCTGAACCCAGAAGTTTGAGGCTGCAGTGAGCCATGATTGTGCCACTGCACTCCAGCCTGGGAGACATAGTGAGACTTCGACTAAACAAAAAAATAATCTCTAGATGACAGGGAAATGGATTTGGGATAAGTACCTAGGTAGCTTCAGTGGTATTCGTAATATTTTGATTGAGTATGGATTCATGAGTGTTCAATTACTGTTTTAAAACTTGCATACATGTTATGTGTCAAATATTACGTAACACCATACTTAGTTTATCCCAATTCACACTCACCTACATCTATTTCTAATTCCTATTTGAGACCTCAAGACAGAATTCCCACGTCTCTTCCTGTGCTTTTATCCTACTTCCCTTGGACTTCTCATAGCAAGTCAATACTGCCTTCCAGGCATTTTCTAAAGACAGCGTCAGGTTCTTGCACATCTGTATATTTCCAAAGGCAGTCAACAGAGTGGTTACTGAGCAGGTGTGCAATAAATGTTTCTGCAAATAAATCCCTACATTTGGGATAAAAGACTATTTAGTCAAACATGAGCTGTTTTTTGGTAGATTTAAAACTATTCCTGTTTGAAGAGCTAAATTAAATTCCTTCATCCAGATATACTAGGTTAGGGTAAGGAACATATTTATCAAATTGCACCATCCTTTATTGCATCTTTATAATTTGAGAAATTAATATGACCACATTTCAAAAACATTCTTACTCATTCAATATTTATTACACATCAACAATTCCTCAAAATTGTAACTTATTAGAGAATGGTTAAATAAACTATGGTATATCCAGTTGTAAAGAAGAATGACTGAGATCTACAGATGTTATTACACAGTCATTTCCATGTCATATTGAGAAGTAAAAAGAGCAAAGTGGAGAATGATGTATAATGTCTATTTTACCCACTACTAGGTATCTACACAAAAGAACAGAGGCCATTATATAAAAAAGACACTGATCAGTTGATAGGCATTTAGTTGCATCTTTGCAACTGTTAATTGTGCTGCAATTACCATGCAAGCTGGCTAATGAAAATGTGGTATACATCAGCCTTGAAAAAGAATGAAATAATGCATTTTGCAGCAACTTGGATGGAACTGAAGAACATCATCCTAAGTGAACTAATGCAGGAACAGAAAACCAAATATGTTCTCACTTTTAAGTGGGAGCTAAACTAAGAATCTGCAAAGGCATAAAAAAATGGTATAATGGACACTGGAGATTCAGAGGGGGAGGAGAAAAGGGGAGGGATGAAAAAAAACCACCTGTCAGGTACAATGTACATGGGTGGGGGTGGTGGGTACACTTAAAGCCCAGACTTCTTCACCACTATACAATGCAACCATGCAACCAAAAACCATTTGTGCCCCCCAAAGCTATTGAAAAAAAGAAAAAAAAAAAGTATATTTTACACATGTGCTTGTACAGAATATTTCTGGGAGATTATTCAAGAGACTAGTAACTGTGACTGTCCCTAAGGAGGGAGAGGGAGTCAGTGTCTGGCATAGGAGGGGGAATTATTTTTCACTGTTTATCTTTTTGTACTTTTCCCCCAAATGTGAATGTACTACTTTTTCAACTAAAATAACAGCTTAAGCCAGGCTCGTTGGCTCAGCCTGTAATCCCTTTGGGAGGCTGAGGTGAGTGGATTGCCTGAGCCCGCGGGTTCGAGACCCACCTGGGCAGCTAGACCTCATCTCTACAATAAATAAAAAAATCAGCCGGGTGTGGTAGTACATGTCTGTAATTCCGGCTACTTGGAAGGCTGAGGCGGAAGGATCGCCGGAGCCCAGCAGGTCGAGGCTGCGGTGGCTGGGAGTGGCCACTGCACTCCAGTCTGGGCGACGGAGTGAGACTCCAACTCAAAAAAATAAAATAAAACAAAATAAAATAAAATAAAAAACAGCTTAATAATTTACACTTTCAATAAGGAGATACACACACAAAAATAAGATTGGATAAGATCAAGCAGGAGTACAACACAAGAAGAAATGTTATAAGACAATATGTACTTAATTATCATATAGATTGAAATAGCTTTTAGCTCAAAGGAGTGAAGAAATCACTGTGGACTGATGTGATCAGGAAACCTTTGCCATGTAAGGGAGGCTTGACTTGGACCTTGAAGGATGAGATTTGCATATGATAGCAGAGAGGGGGAAAGGATTATAGGAAAGGTAAATGCTGTGGGTACAGGTCCTAAGGCAAGGCTGTAGAGTGGGCCTGAGAAGTCCAAGACCTGGATTCTAGTCCTTCTTTGACCCTAAAAGTTGCAGACTCCTGGGCAGGTCACTCTTACCATCCCTGCATCCATTGCTGGGATACAAACCAAATGTAATAGGTGGTCCCTTCCAGCTCTCTAATAACATGGCTATCTCCATACCCCAACATGGCTAGGAAGATTAGGGCTATATTTTGGGATTCACTGAGTGCCAAGCAAAGGAATTTTATGGTTTGGTCAGAGGAAGTCCCAGAAGGTTTTTGAAAAGAGAAATGTGTTTAGAATACTGAATGAATATGTAACACAGAGCATACAGTAGATACTATATAAGTTGTGGCTAATAGAATCATCAATTTCACATCATTTACAGAGGAAAGGGCAAACGAACTGGGAGATTTGCAATAACCAGGCAAGCAGGAGACCAACATGGACGAGGGGTTTGGTCCATATTGGGTCTTAGGTGTGTTTGAATCCCTAGATATTCATTACTAATACATCTGCTCTAAGTTCTTGTTTGCTACCCTTTTCTAGGGTCCTACTGATTAGTGTTTAGTGTCAGGAGGCATTTAGAGCCTGAAAAATATTACTGCTCAACCACTGTCAGATTAAGTGTTTATTCTGTAGCCTGACTCATTCTAGCAATGAACTTTCTAGGTAGCAAGTGTAGAGTTATACAGATTGAAAATACTGCCACATTTTATTAAAATAATTGTCTTTAAAATTATATAAGGTTATGTATTTTCTACTTCACAGAGAAGTTCAAATTTTTGAAAGTTATCTCTAATCCAGATATCACAACGGTTAATATTGTTTGTTTTAATGGTATCAAAGCATAGACAAAGTTTCAAATTCTAAGAAAACAGTTTTGAGAAGGTGATTTGCTTTGTGGCAATGTAGTCTGATTTTTCACATTTTTAATGCACATGGTCTTTCTCCAACTTTCCAATTATCACCTCCTCAAAGGCAGAGAGCTTATTTTCTACATAATGCTTTACAACACAGCACTTACATGCTGAATAAATAGCAATATACTTCAAATTATGAGGTAATGATTAACTTCCCCCAAATTACCTTTTCAACATTTCATTCTCATGTTTCCCCTCTGCCTGTGAATCACTTTCCAACTCTTTGATCAGGTATTCAAGGGTCTCCAATATGTAACTGCAATTATGCTTATTCTAGTTAAAGCCCTCTGCAACAACTAGCTAAGATTTTTTATCCCATGACCATGCCATACTTGGCTATGTGCCTTTGCCTAATTCTAATTTTCCATTCCCAGAATGTCTTCACTCAATAATAGCCTTATAGAATTGTCTCTAGTGATTTCAACCCATTGGTAAATGCTCACTCATAAGTATCTAAGCACTGTAAGTCTATAATACTCACTGTGGCACTGAATCAAATTGTATCCTAAACCTTTATTACAGACTCATATACTTAAATGAACTCACTGAGGATAAACAACACTTTAATCACCTGACCAACTTGGCTTTATGGCAAGAAAGAAACAATAAAGGAACATAGGAAGAGATGCTCAAGTTATATAAAGGAAGTATTCTTTTGAAATAAGAAAAGGGGCTTTCCAATCCAGGAAACTGAATGCCTTTGGTGGTTAGGAGAGAGCAAGTGGCCAGCTGGTAAAATAAGATAAAAGGATAAACAAAGAGTAAACATTCTGCTTAAAAAGAAGAAGCAGAATGAAGGTAGTATCTAGGGAGAAGTCTGAACTTTGGAAAGGTAAGCAAGGCTGAAGGGTGGGGAGAATAAAGAAAGAGTTTTACATATGCTTTAGGGTTTATTTAAATGGAAAATTAAAATTTTAAATTAATCCTAGATTCTGAACTTCAACAAAAAATATAAAACCTGACTGAGGGGTTTGTCTAATCTTCAATTTACAGAAAAGTAATTAGAATGAGAATGACACATATAAAGAATCTATTCACAGTATAGAGCCTGTTACACAGAAGGCACTCAAATGTGGAACGAAAGCCACTAAGCCCAAAATTCTGGAGTCTCCAGATATATCTGAATGCCATGATCACTGGTATTTAGGTTATTAATAAAAATGTGCTTCTTACCTTTGTCTTCTCCCTGTTCACCAATAACCCATACTTTTTTGCCGGAAATCTGTGCCTTCAAAACGTTTGTAATAATATATTGTAGTCTCTGTGAATCCAGATTGCATCCAATTCCAATCACTCGATTTGCAGGAAATGCACTCAGTTGCCATGTCACATAGGTCATGATTTCCACTAAATATTGCATACAAGGTGAAAATGTAAAGACTAAAAATTATACACTTCTAGCTAGGTCACAAAATACTTATTATTTTAATAAGGAAAGTATGTAAGAGCTTCTACATGTTTTTCTTAGGTCCTAAATGCACTAAGGCATATTTTTAATGTATGTTAAAAACTAAGGAGATTTTTATAAGATTTTACATAACTTTGTTGCTAAATTTAAATTGTCAGGGGTGTAAAATAGATAATTTCCTAGAATAGTTAAACAAAAAGGACAAACAGGATTACAGAAAGCCAGAAATAATAATTTCTTTTCACTGACCAAGTTATCTTTTATATTGTAAGCTGAATTTCTATCTTTAAATTACAATATTGATGCATATACCACCATTATGCAGTATAGCATTATGAATAGAAACACAATTACTTTTTCCTTACCTGCCAAGAGGATGTCAGGAATTAAAGAGCCCAGTGTCCTCTGACTAATTACTATAGAAAAACAAATGAAATGCACACCATACCCCCTATACTGGGAACATTTAAAAAAAATCTATTCACCAATTTGAGTCCAGTACCAACTAACTCTGAAAATATTTCTTTTTTAAGTAAAATGATTTGCAAAATATAAAATATTAAAAACGCATTCTGGGCATGCTCACTAACATTTTATGACACTTCAAAGTTAACAAAGTATCTTTCACATAAATCACTGCATTTTTCTCTTGCTGGTTGAAACATTTTCTCATAGAGGAACTTAGCAACCTAGAACATAATATCACATTTCATCAAAAATTGTTAAGTTGTAACTTTCTAGTTAATATCAATCATAAGTAATTGGTTGAAAGAATATGGAAATATTACACTGTTCACTATAAGAGCTATTTTGCCGAATATTCTAGCCATCACTTTATAATCTAAAGTTTTATGGTTTTTATCGATAATGGCAACTCTAAGGGTGCAAAGGACCATCAAATTAATTGAAAATAAAGCCTTTTACCTGGTTGAGATGCAACAAGCAGGACGCTGTGTTGACTATAATGTCCCAGAGTTGGGACAAGGGCTCTGAACATATCCACATTGCTCTGCACCACATCGAGGTAGGACTGAGAACTACCCAAAGAGTTGACTGTGAAAATCACCACCTTGGAATGAGCAGAGGCAGACAAATCTAGTGAATAAAAAGAAACAGTCTGAGCTCAAGATACAGACTTTAATCAAGTTCTAGATTAAACGATTTTTTCTTTCCTATAAGCAGTGAGCTATTAAGCATACTTGCCCCCAGGTGAATCCTATATCCAAAAAAGTACACAAAAAATGCTGAGACTTGCTCCAGAAAGAGAGTTAAGAGCAATAGTGTATATCAAGAGGGGAAGAGAGCAATAAAGATAAAATATAGAATTCAAAACCTGTAAACAAGGACTGAATTTATGTACTTTACAGTTCTTAAGGGAAAATAAATATTATGCTACAGACAAAACTACAGTCAATTATGCCACTAATTTCTTTCTTTTTTTCACCTTTTAATTTTTTATTTTAAAATTGTGGGATACAATTCAGGGTTAGGTATACAAATATTCATTGTGCAGGTACCCTTGTTGATGATGTGTGCCCCCCCCCAGGCAGTTTCCCACTACTGCCAATCCCACCTCCCCGCTGTCCCACGCCCCCCGCAGTTTCCCACTACTGTCAATCCTTTTCTAATAGTATTACGATATTTGTTCAAGGTACACCACTAGTTTCTAAACAGTGAGCTTAGGTGTCCTAGAATTCCTTGAAAGCAACTCAGAGGCTGCCGGAGAGGAGTGGGAAGAAAGCTGGTAAGCACAGCTTCAGGCCGCTTACTTTGGCTTCTTCAAATGCAGCAGCACTGCTTTTTAGAAATCCGTCTTACTTATTAAAGGTTTTATTTCAAAAAAGGAAAAATCTGGTTGAAAATCTCTATATTAAAATATCTTGGCTCATTTTTAACTGTCTTATACTGAAGCCCAGTTGTCCCTGAGTAACTTTTTCTTTCAATGGGACCTGCAGGTAAGCAACTGCTACGACTTATGAAAAACTGGTCCATGGAGTTCACTCCTCTGATTCTCAAGCACACATATGCTATTTTACAACTATATTACTCTTGACCTCACAGTGTGCTTTACAGTAAATACATGCCAAAAGAGTGGCCAGATGTTATCAGCATTAGAAATGAAAGAAAAATAATAAAGCAATTAAAATGGCGTCAATATTCATAAATGAATATATTAACATCCTGGGGAGACAATGACAAGAAGATATAGAATCCAGAAGATTCCATAGTTTGTATTCTTTTTTTTCTTTTCTTTTGTTCTTTTTTTGAGTAGGTGTCTCACTCTGTAGCCCAGGTTGGAGTGCAATGACACAATCACAGCTCACCACAGCCTCGATCTCCTGGGCGTAGGTGATCCTTCTGCCTCAACCTCCCAAGTAGCTGAAACTATAGACACACACCACCACACCTGGCTAATGTTCTGATTTTTTTGTAGCGACAAGGTTTTGCTATGTTGTCCAGGCAGGTCTTGAACCCCAGGGTTAACCAATCTGCCCACCTCAGTCTTACAAAGTGCTGGGATTACAGGCATAAGCCACCATACCTGGCTTCATAGTTTGTATTCTTAATTAAGCCTCTAAGGCCACCTTCCTAAACAAGTTTCAGAAGGAAACATTTGTGCAATGTCACCACTGGGAAATGTATTATCCAATTTTAGTTCATATTCTGACATAGTTGTGGTGAAGGTAGGTCCAAAAAACTGAGTCCTGGATTTTAATTATGGTTCTTCATGAGTCCATCTAAGTAATTCCTCTGTTTCATGGTTTGGAGTGGTCACCTGCTAGTGAGTCAAAAACTCAAGAACTAGAAAAAATGAGAACTGAAAGGTATATAGTTAATACTTCCACAGTACTTACTATGTGCCAGGTGCTGTTCTAAGAGCTTTCCATGTATCTACTTATTTAATCTAACCCACAAAATACAGTGGGATAATATCATCTCCATTTTACAGATGAAGAATCTGAGGCACAAAGAAGTTAAGTAACTTGCTCAAAGTCATACAGCTGGTAATTGAAAGAACCATAATATATATATATATGTATGTATGTATATGTGTGTGTATATATATATGTATATGTGTGTGTGTATATATATTGCACTCAATATATATATACACACACACATATACATGCACACACACATATATATACATACATATATATATATATATATATATTTTTTT